AGCCTTTAGCCAATAAGAGATGGTCTTTTAGCCTTTACCCAATAAGAGATGGTCTTTTAGCCTTTAGCCAGTAAGAGATGGTCTTTTAGCCTTTAGCCAATAAGAGATGGCCTTTTAGCCTTTAGCCAATAAGAGATGGTCTTTTAGCCTTTAGCCAGTAAGAGATGGCCTTTTAGCCTTTAGCCAATAAGAGATGGTCTTTTAGCCTTTAGCCAATAAGAGATGGCCTTTTAGCCTTTAGCCAATAAGAGATGGCCTTTTAGCCTTTAGCCAATAAGAGATGGCCTTTTAGCCTTTAGCCAATAAGAGATGGCCTTTTAGCCTTTAGCCAATAAGAGATGGCCTTTTAGCCTTTAGCCAATAAGAGATGGTCTTTTAGCCTTTAGCCAATAAGAGATAGCCTTTTAGCCTTTAGCCAATAAGAGATGGCCTTTTAGCCTTTAGCCAGTAAGAGATGGTCTTTTAGCCTTTACCCAATAAGAGATGGTCTTTTAGCCTTTAGCCAGTAAGAGATGGCCTTTTAGCCTTTAGCCAGTAAGAGATGGCCTTTTAGCCTTTAGCCAATAAGAGATGGTCTTTTAGCCTTTAGCCAGTAAGAGATGGCCTTTTAGCCTTTACCCAATAAGAGATGGTCTTTTAGCCTTTAGCCAGTAAGAGATGGCCTTTTAGCCTTTAGCCAGTAAGAGATGGCCTTTTAGCCTTTAGCCAATAAGAGATGGCCTTTTAGCCTTTAGCCAATAAGAGATGGCCTTTTAGCCTTTAGCCAATAAGAGATGGCCTTTTAGCCTTTAGCCAATAAGAGATGGCCTTTTAGCCTTTAGCCAATAAGAGATGGTCTTTTAGCCATTAGCCAATAAGAGATGGCCTTTTAGCCTTTAGCCAATAAGAGATGGCCTTTTAGCCTTTAGCCAATAAGAGATGGTCTTTTAGCCTTTACCCAATAAGAGATGGTCTTTTAGCCTTTAGCCAGTAAGAGATGGCCTTTTAGCCTTTAGCCAGTAAGAGATGGCCTTTTAGCCTTTAGCCAATAAGAGATGGCCTTCTAGCCTTTAGCCAATAAGAGATGGCCTTTTAGCCTTTAGCCAATAAGAGATGGCCTTTTAGCCTTTAGCCAATAAGAGATGGCCTTTTAGCCTTTAGCCAATAAGAGATGGTCTTTTAGCCTTTAGCCAATAAGAGATGGTCTTTTAGCCTTTAGCCAGTAAGAGATGGCCTTTTAGCCTTTAGCCAGTAAGAGATGGCCTTTTAGCCTTTAGCCAGTAAGAGATGGCCTTTTAGCCTTTAGCCAATAAGAGATGGTCTTTTAGCCTTTAGCCAGTAAGAGATGGCCTTTTAGCCTTTAGCCAGTAAGAGATGGCCTTTTAGCCTTTAGCCAATAAGAGATGGCCTTTTAGCCTTTAGCCAATAAGAGATGGCCTTTTAGCCTTTAGCCAATAAGAGATGGCCTTTTAGCCTTTAGCCAATAAGAGATGGCCTTTTAGCCTTTAGCCAATAAGAGATGGTCTTTCAGCCTTTAGCCAATAAGAAATAAGTGCTTTGTGATTTATATCTGTGAAAGGCGCTATACAAATAAACTTTTACTTACTTACTTTTAGCCTTTACCCAATAAGAGATGGTCTTTTAGCCTTTAGCCAGTAAGAGATGGCCTTTTAGCCTTTAGCCAGTAAGAGATGGCCTTTTAGCCTTTAGCCAGTAAGAGATGGCCTTTTAGCCTTTAGCCAGTAAGAGATGGCCTTTTAGCCTTTAGCCAATAAGAGATGGTCTTTTAGCCTTTAGCCAGTAAGAGATGGCCTTTTAGCCTTTAGCCAGTAAGAGATGGCCTTTTAGCCTTTAGCCAATAAGAGATGGCCTTTTAGCCTTTAGCCAATAAGAGATGGCCTTTTAGCCTTTAGCCAATAAGAGATGGCCTTTTAGCCTTTAGCCAATAAGAGATGGCCTTTTAGCCTTTAGCCAATAAGAGATGGTCTTTCAGCCTTTAGCCAATAAGAAATAAGTGCTTTGTGATTTATATCTGTGAAAGGCGCTATACAAATAAACTTTTACTTACTTACTTTTAGCCTTTACCCAATAAGAGATGGTCTTTCAGCCTTTAGCCAATAAGAAATAAGTGCTTTGTGATTTATATCTGTGAAAGGCGCTATACAAATAAACTTTTACTTACTTACTTTTAGCCTTTACCCAATAAGAGATGGTCTTTTAGCCTTTAGCCAGTAAGAGATGGCCTTTTAGCCTTTAGCCAGTAAGAGATGGTCTTTTAGCCTTTAGCCAGTAAGAGATGGCCTTTTAGCCTTTAGCCAGTAAGAGATGGCCTTTTAGCCTTTAGCCAGTAAGAGATGGCCTTTTAGCCTTTAGCCAATAAGAGATGGTCTTTTAGCCTTTAGCCAGTAAGAGATGGCCTTTTAGCCTTTAGCCAGTAAGAGATGGCCTTTTAGCCTTTAGCCAATAAGAGATGGCCTTTTAGCCTTTAGCCAATAAGAGATGGCCTTTTAGCCTTTAGCCAATAAGAGATGGCCTTTTAGCCTTTAGCCAATAAGAGATGGCCTTTTAGCCTTTAGCCAATAAGAGATGGCCTTTTAGCCTTTAGCCAATAAGAGATGGCCTTTTAGCCTTTAGCCAATAAGAGATGGCCTTTTAGCCTTTAGCCAATAAGAGATGGCCTTTTAGCCTTTAGCCAATAAGAGATGGTCTTTTAGCCTTTAGCCAATAAGAGATGGCCTTTTAGCCTTTAGCCAATAAGAGACGGTCTTTTAGTCTTTAGCCAATAAGAGATGGTCTTTCAGCCTCTAGCTTTAACAAGCTGGTCCATGATGGTGTTTGTAATCCCCTGAGACACGTGTATCTTCAGCTTCCTGTGGTCCGTGTGGTACACACCCTGATCCTAAACAGCACTGTGACTACCTTCCAGCCGTTAAACAGGCAGCCTGACTGGTTCCAGGGTTAAAGACAGCTGTGATGCTGATGACACGACACAGCCTAGTCTAACATGCTTTTAATTTCTGTTACTATTAAAATCTTTTTGAGGTTTTAGTTTTCTGGACAAATGAGCTCATGCTCATTAAACTCGACACCAGTTATAACTGAATAAGATTAGTTGCAACAGCTTCAGCAAGAAAAACGTCTAGAAACTCAATCAATTCTGCTCCGTGTCGGTGGGACGGAGGAGGTCTCTGAAGTACCAACCCACAGTGTTGGGAGTGGAGGTCGGCAGCAGACAGACACCGGACGGTGGACCAGAATTTCCTCGAAGCCACAGGAGTCCTTCTCCGAGGCCTTTGTTGTAAATGTTAACATAAAATATTGCTCATTTAGATTTGTTTGCATTATTTTGGGAATTTTACTGAGGTTTTTAGCTAGCTGAACAAAATAAAATGTTAAAGAAATGCCTTCCATCTGGTTCTGGGGATATTGTAGGAAGGCAGTACTCTGTATTTACCGACTGCAGCTTGACTCGCAGTCAAGTTCCTATGCTCTGGGTCGCTGGAGCTGGTAATAAAGCTTATTCTGATTCTGGTGTGCTGAACGTCTCCAGATATCTGCTCCTACAAGAGCTCCAAACGATTAGAAATGTGACGCAACATGTTTAAAATGTTTCCGTAATCAAGCAGCCCCATAATGCAACGAGAAGTATATTTATCTTCTTGTGCATCTCTTATCACACGATTCTTTCTGCTGACCGAGGTAGACCTCGTCCAGGGAATGTTGGCAGAAATCCTTTTAGTTTCCAAAGACGTGAGTCAACCCCTTCCAGCTGATTCCGACGACTCCGATGGGACCGATGTATGTTGTGATCTGAACAATCCAAAAGACCTGTGAGGAATTTCAATGGCTCTGTCTGGGAATCGGGATGGACTGATCTTCTGCCAGACTTCACCCCTCGAAGACTTTTCTTCATCATATGAACCACGGAAAAAAGTGAACCGGCTTTTTGCAACGTCTGAATTTCATTCGTTGATTTCCAGTCATTTCCAAACGCGTTACCTTTGTCAAGTTAGACGTTATTCCAGTGACCCCTGCGGCTTTTCTCTCCGGAACAATTTTATCCACGTCTGTAAACTGAATGTGTTGGTGGAACAACGAGGAAGCACCAGCAGGTTTCACACGACAGAAGGTGACTCCGCGAGGAAAGTCGACCATTGAGCAGGGTTGATGGTTTATCCCTTGGGTCCAGGTGGCAGGAGTGAGGAGTGAACACCACCTCACCCCTGCCACGTGGACCTCATGGGTTAAACCATCAACTTTCCTCGCGGGGTCACCCATAAAGACAGTGGGAGGGTTAAATATTTCCAGTTAAAGGTAGTTTAGATCATTAAAGGGCTTTAAGTGCAGGAAAGTTCACCGACGTTCCCGTTGTTCAGTCAACACCATTCCAACTACAAAGGGGCTATTCCAGAGAGGAGGTTCAGCAAACTCTGAGTGATCAACTGATTTAAATGATTTAGTCAACTCTGGAGTCTACTCAGACAACAGAGAAAGGTCTAAAGTGTATTCTGATGTGCGTGTGGTGCTAGAAATACATCTGCTCCAACCAGAAATCCTCTGGAAATCCAGGAAAGTCCTCCCCTGGGTAAATTTGCTATGGTATCAGTCTGGCTCCTTGGGGGTGCAGGACTGGTAGTTGTATGGTAGGCTCAGAGGCTCAGCTACAGCTGTTTCTAGAACAAAATCCATAAAGTGTTTCCTAACGTGAGCTGAACTTCCTCAGAGTTCACACAACCGGCCTTCTGGAACAGCCCGCTGTAAGGAAACAAGAAGTGAGCACCGCTCGTTTGAAGTGTTCAAACCTCCGTGGAGGTCCAAGTGTAAACCACCGAGATGACATATCACAATGTTGCATCACTTCCTGCTCGTCTGCACTGGAATTCCCATGGTGGAGCCCAGAGGACGCCACGGGAAATCTTGTTGCGTAAACACAAACACACAAAAACACACGGCCACTGGAACACAAGGACGACACACTCGTTCATGCAGGACCCGTCGGGAAAGCAAGAAACAGGAACAGATGCCTTGCAACGATGTTTAATGGGTTTTTGAGAGATAACCTAGAGTAAACCATTCTACCGTAGAACCGTTTCAGGTAGAATTACAGTCTGTTGTTAGTTAAACATGCAGTATACCGTTCAGAGAGGAAATCAAAAGCCTGCTACGGAAACACAAACAAAAACCTGTAGAGTGTAGAGCTCACCCGTGGCCGCCACAGACGATTACGGCGGACCGCGGTAAGTCAAACGCTAGCTCTGACTCTGCTCTGGGGCAAACGGCTAGCTGGAGCTTTGCTCCGTCAAAACGAAAGCCTCAAGCACACGCTGCATATGACGCCACGGTTCTCCCTCAGCAGCCTATGCAACAAGCGCAGATCACACAAACAACGTCACCAACTGCTATCTAAGGAGGGCTGACCCAAATACCGCCGGGGCGGGGCGGGGGGGGCTTCAAAGCTTCGGTGAACACTTGGAGGATTCCAGATGCGTAGCTGCAACTAGCTCATGCTAGCGAGTGTTGCACGGACTGATGCGAGGCAGAATAAATAACTTCATTGCTGAGGCGGACTGGTTTGCAGTGGTAATGATACCCAGATTAGGAACCACAGTGGAACCTGAATCACCACGGCAACAGCGCTTTGAAGCATTTGGGTCAGCCCTTAAATCTAATCCTCCCACACCTATTTGTTAATACCTAAGCTCTTATTTTGAAAGCTAAAAGTCCTGCAACAAGAACCAAACATGTGAAGAAGGCGTCTGTGACCACGGCTACGGTGCGGAGCACGGAGCACGTCCACGGGGTCGGGAGGACCAGAGGAGGACAAAAAACAAACAAATACAAAAAGTAAAATCAAATAAAAATCACCTGTTGGGTAAAAACAGTAGGATAAATACAGTCAGTCCATTCCTCTTCAGTGCTTTTCTCTTTCTGGTGTCGGTGTGAAGGTTCGTTGGACCGGTGAGTCATTACCCCGGCCGGGGCCACAGAAGACGCAGTGTTACGTAAAAAGAACATTCGACTAGAAAACGGCGGTGGCTGGCGTTGGCCGTGCACTCGGAACCAGAACCACCACAACGGTTAAACAGGAGGGCTTCATTTAAAAATCGCTACAGTCTCTTACTCCCCACCTCCTTTTAACTCTTTTTTTTTTCTACTTCTCCTTCTCCGTTTTTTCCGCTAAGACGTCTAACTGGAGCGAACACAAACAGCGGGACAAGGGAGGGGGTGCAGGATAAAGGTGCATTCCAGGGATTATAGAAGGACTTATACGTTACCTTCCAGAAAACTATCAGTCTTATCACATACGGTGGAGTAGTACGGTGGCTGGCTGCTGTCGGGGGCCTCACGCTCCTGGGCCCCCGGGTGCTTAGAGCACTCCTGCGGATCCTCCAGACCCTCTCCTGCGATCTTTCCTCCAAACAAGTAGTGATGGTCATCCACACCTGGGTGGCCCAAAGGGATCAGGTCCACGGCGCTGCCCAGCAGGTTCTCGCTCTGAGCAGCGGCCGCCGAGGGCAGGGTCAGCTCCTTGATGAGGGAGGGGTCCTTGGCCTCCTCTGGAAGCTGCTCCTCGTTCTCCAGGGAGAAGATTCCTGGGCTCTTCCCACAGCTCTCAGCCATGGAGTGCGCATTGGAGTTGGACGTGGTGCAGTCGAAACCATAGGATGCCACGGAATTGGCTGACTGAGGAGTAGCTCCGCCTCCGTCCTCCTCGCCATCTCCAGTGGGCGTGTCTCCTGCCTCCTTCTCAAGTGCCGGCAGGTTACAGGAGGGAGGGGGGCTTTCAAAGCCAGCTCTCTCCTCCATCATCATCATCATCATCGGAGCCTCTGGGTCATTGATCTGGATCTCGCCCTCTGTGTCGCTGGCCTCGTCACCGGAGGTGGAGGTGGAGGACGGGGCAGACGCGGGAGCGGTTGGAGGCCCCGTTCCTAAAACTTCATCAGCAGGGAGCGTCTCTGCCTCCTCCTCTTCTCCATCCCCTTTCTCCAAATGAATCCCCAAGTCCTGGTCCAAGTCTGACTGGGCCTGAACAGGCACAGGGGTGTGCTGTTTATCCGAGCGGGACTCCACCCCGGAGCTGCTGTCGTAGTCCCGCAGGTCCTCTGGGGTGCTCGTCTCGCTGCTGCTGCGGGCAGCCAGGGCGGACGGGGACACACCTGTGGCCGGGACAGCCAGCAGGTCCTCTCCAGGACCAGAGTCCTTCATCTCGTGTGCTGAGTGGTGGTGAGGTTCACGCTCCAACTGAGGAGGGAAGGATGGGGCCGTGCTGTCCACACAGGCCTGGGCAGGGGACTGGGTGGGGGTCTCCGACTCTGCTGCGCCGCGGTCGGACACGGGGCTGGGGGACAACACGGACAGCAGCGCGGCCGGCTGAGCCCAGGTATCTGAGAACGGGTTGGTGTGGGTGTGGCCCCAGGAGGACGCAGGGGGGACACTGATGTCGTCTAAGTGATCCTCCTCATTAAAGTCATCGTCTACATTCTCACAGCTGTCCATCACTCCTTCACTGTGCATCTCCACATCTTCATCCTCCTCCTCTTCCTGTCTCTGCTCCTGGAACTCTTTATGATGTTCCTCTACTTGCTCTGAACTCATGTCTATGTCATCCACCCTGTCGTCCTCTTCATCGTCCTCCTCCTCCTCATTGGCCAGAGTTTCTACGTTGGGAGAACCGATCAGATTACCGTCTCCCTCAGACCCTCTGAGGCTGGAGTCCACCAGGGCATCGGAGCTCTGGGTTCCCTCCAGGATGGCGGTGTGCTGGGTGCTGCTGAGGTCCGACACCCCCTGCTGGCGGCTGCTTGTGCAGCTGCTCACGTCCTCCGAGTCCATCCCTGACAGCAGGTCATCACCAGCCCACCCAGCAGAACCACCGAACAGCGAGGAGCGTGCCGGGAACTCGTCAGAGGGCTGGCTCATGCTCATGTCGGTGATCAGGGATGAAAGCTGCTGTCCTGGTCTTCTCTGCTCTTCTTCTTCATCCACATCCTCATCATCATCCTCGTCGTCCTCCTCATCCTCATTGATCTCTTCCTCAGCCTTTTCCACTTCCTCCTCCTTCTCTTGAGGTGAGACAAGGTCTCTACGGGTAAAATCCCCCAAGCTGTGGGGCTGTGCAGCAGGAGGAAAGGCCCCCAGAGCCACAGAAGGAGAAACAAACTGGTTTTCTTTCTCTTCCTCCTGTTCCTCTTGAAATCCATAACCTGTCTCATGTTCCCTTCTCTCCTCTAGCTGAAACTCTCCAACATTGACTAAACTTTGGGGCGCCACACAAACGGGAGATTGGTTCCTGTCCCAGGGGTCGGGCTGGACATCCATGTCCAGAAGAGAAGAGGTGACGTGAGAGTCTCTGACAGGAGAAGCAGGAGCTGGAGGAGAGCAAGGAGGAGACATAACAGTGGTTCCCAAGGAAGGAACAGACGTGTGGTCTTCAAATGGGAACGGGTCCACCTGGGCTGACGTCTGTAAACCAGAAGCAGGTTCAGCCTTAAGTTCTGGTTCAGCTGATGACTTGAAAAATACTTCTACCCGAGGTTCAGAAGATGCGTCTTGCTTTTGGTTAGAACTTAGAACGTGCACAGGTTCAGGTGTCGGTTCCCTAACAGGTTCAGGTGTTGGTTCCCTAACAGGTTCAGGTGTCGGTTCCCTAACAGGTTCAGGTGTCGGTTCCCTAACAGGTTCAGGTGTCGGTTCCCTAACAGGTTCGGGTGTCGGTTCCCTAACGGGTTCGGGTGTTGGTTCCCTAACAGGTTCAGGTGTCGGTTCCCTAAAGGGCTTGGGCGTCGGTTCCCAAGCGGGCTCTGGTGTCGGTTCCCTAACAGGCTCGGGTGTCAGTTCCCTAGCGGGCTCGGGTGTTGATTCTTTTATGGATTCTGGTGTCGGTTCCCTAGCGGGCTCGGGTGTTGGTTCCCTAATTGGCTCTGGTGTCAGTTCCCTAACAGGTTCGGGTGTTGGTTCCCTAGCGGGCTCGGGTGTTGGTTCCCTAACAGGTTTGGGTGTTGGTTCCCTAACAGGTTCGGGTGTTGGTTCCCTAACAGGTTCGGGTGTTGGTTCCCTAACAGGTTCGGGTGTTGGTTCCCTAACAGGTTCGGGTGTTGGTTCCCTAACAGGTTCGGGTGTTGGTTCCCTAACGGGTTCGGGTGTTGGTTCCCTAACGGGTTCGGGTGTTGGTTCCCTAATTGGCTCTGGTGTCAGTTCCCTAACAGGTTCGGGTGTTGGTTCCCTAGCGGGCTCGGGTGTCGGTTCCCTAACGGGCTCGGGTGTTGGTTCCCCAGCGGGCTCAGGAATGGGTTGCTGAATGAGTTCCTGTACCGGCTCACACACGGCTCCTGACACTGTTTCTGGAGAGGGTTTAGGTATTTTTTCTTGCACAGCCTCAGCAGCAGCAGGTGGTTCTACAGCTTCGGGTGGCTGGAGCTCTTCTGGTCCTGCCCTGGCAGATGCTGCAGTAGCGATGGCTGCAGCGGCGGCTACAGCTGCAGCTATTTCTGTTCCAGGTTCAGCAGCTGTTGCCGGTTTGGGGGCTCGTTTCACCGGAGTCGGGGTGCTACTTCCAATGGTCTTCTTGGGGCTGGACGACTTAGCTGCAGCTGTTTTGGTGGCTGGAGTCCTTGAAGCATCCTTGGAAGGTGCGGACTTACTCTCCTGTGTTTTGGGGCGGCTTGGTGCCTTGGTCTCTGCAGCCTTTGGTGTGGTTGGTTTTCTGGTGGTAACATCTGGTTTTGAAGATGACACGGATGACTCTACTTTGACTGACTTTGTTGCAGAGGAAGGACGAGCGAGAGGGGGGTCCGAAGGCTTTTTGGTTGCTGGAGTGGAGGGCTTGGTAACATCTGGAAAAAACAAAACATGAGTTAAACAACATAGTAAAAAAAACTTTCATTCTTGTAATACTTGAAATGTTTGCTATACATGAATGTTATTGTTGTACTAGGACTTGGCTCTGTCCAATCGTGTCACATTCAGAATGCTGCTTTTATGTTTCCACCTGCAGCACATTTACGTTTTCTGACGTCTGCTTTCTATCAGCCTAACTTTATCCTTTATTACATGTGACACGACCTGATTTAGGTGGGGAAGCGCCGTTACCTTTTTTCACCGGGGTTTTGTTTCTCGCTGCCTGTGTCGGTGGAGCCTTGCCAGCAGAGGGCGTAGTGGTGGTTGATTTGGGAGCAGCGGGCTTGCTGGGGGCGGGTTTAGGGGTGGTGGGTTTGGATGCAGCAGTGGAGGTCTTGGCTGTGCTCGCTGATGGAGAAGAGCCAGTAGCGAGTCGGGTCGATGCCGTGGGCCTGTAGAAACAACACGGAAGATCAGACGGTGCTAATAGTGCTCTCTGTAACCACAAAGCCCTACTGTACTCATTACTGGCCGGGTGTTGATCTTTAGAGTGACTTCCATTGTTTACCAGACATCTGTGATGCATAAATCGTCCCTAAGCAGCCTGTCAGGATGGACTTTGGCTAATGTCATCAGCCACTGAGACACTGGTTAACCCAGTTTACTCTCCCTCAACACAATGACACACTCCCCCGAGGGACAAAGTACAACACAACAGCCCCCAGAGAGACTTCCTAACCCCAAGCCAGTCCCGTCCCTCCCCTGATGGGGACACCACGCATCTGCCTGGCCGCTGGAGCAGCTCTGACCTAGAAGCAGCTTCGATGTCACGTCTGAGCAAAGTAACCCACATCTAGTAGTCCTGACAAGGCTGAGGCGTTCAGTCTCCTGGGCCCACGCTACACTAACTGCATGTTTCTAAATAAAGAACCGAGTCAGTTCAGGCAGAAACAGAGCAGGCGACTGGAGGAAGGTAGGCTTAGATGGCTGGGACCGAGTAAAAGGTTGATACTGAGAGGAGAACATCTCTGAATCCTCACAGGGAAACAGGCAATGTGTGATGAAGCTGAGTGTATTATTAATAAATAACCTGGCACATGCAAATAAAGATTATACAAAAACATCTGAGCTCAGGCGGAAACAAGCGAGGGCGTGGTTATTTCAGAGTCGGAGGAAACGATCAGAGTGCTTCTGTTTTTGCCCCTTTGATGTTTCAGATCAGCAAAGCTAACCTGGTTAAATACAAAACGTAGCTTTTACGTTACAAATCTACCCAGACCAACTGGCCTGGACATCTAGACCAACCTTAGCAAGCCATGTAGCTGAGCTGTGCAGGTCGGTCTAGCCACGTGCCATTGCAGCCTCAGCAGGTCTACCATTGGCTCGGCTATGTTTAGGCTGGACCAATCACGTTCTATGTTTATAGAGAGATGTTGAGCTGCCACGACATGATCGTGAGACGGTAGTTCCATGCTTTTATCACGGTGCGATTGGACTACTGTAACTCTGTTTTATTCGGTGTGAGCAAGGGCGCAATAGGCAGGTTACAAATGGTGCAGAATGCTGCTGCTAGACTTTTAGAGGGCAGGCGCAAGTATGACCACATGACTCCTGTCCTGGCTGCGCTTCACTGGCTGCCCGTTGATGTAAGGATTCGTTTTAAGATACTTTTATCTCCATCCATCCATCTCCATCCATCCATCCATCCATCTCCATCCATCCATCCATCCATCTCCATACATACATACATACATCTCCATCCATCTCCATCCATCCATCCATCCATCCATCTCCATACATCCATCCATCCATCCATCCATCCATCTCCATACATACATCCATCCATCTCCATACATCCATCCATCCATCCATCTCCATACATACATACATACATCTCCATCCATCCATCCATCCATCTCCATACATACATCCATCCATCTCCATACATACATCCATCCATCTCCATACATACATCCATCCATCCATCCATCTCCATACATACATACATACATCTCCATCCATCCATCTCCATACATACATCCATCCATCTCCATACATACATCCATCCATCCATCCATCCATCTCCATACATACATACATCCATCTCCATACATACATCCATCCATCTCCATACATACATCCATCCATCCATCCATCCATCTCCATACATACATACATCTCCATCCATCCATCCATCCATCCATCTCCATCCATCCATCTCCATCCATCCATCCATCCATCTCCATCCATCCATCCATCCATCTCCATACATACATCCATACATCTCCATCCATCCATCCATCCATCTCCATACATACATCCATCCATCTCCATACATACATCCATCCATCTCCATACATACATCCATCCATCCATCCATCTCCATACATACATACATACATCTCCATCCATCCATCTCCATACATACATCCATCCATCCATCTCCATACATCCATCCATCCATCTCCATACATACATACATCCATCTCCATACATACATCCATCCATCCATCCATCCATCTCCATACATACATACATCTCCATCCATCCATCCATCCATCCATCCATCTCCATCCATCCATCTCCATACATACATACATACATCTCCATCCATCCATCTCCATCCATCCATCCATCCATCTCCATCCATCCATCCATCCATCCATCTCCATACATACATACATCTCCATCCATCCATCCATCTCCATCCATCCATCCATCCATCCATCCATCCATCCATCCATCTCCATACATCCATTCATCTCCATTCATCCGTCCATCCATACCGGCTTTTCCATGCAGGGTCGCGGGGAAGAGAAAATATTTGGATAGATTTTTGAAAAGTTTTTAAAAAGTACATAAAACCGGAGTTTGTGCTGTTTGAATTTGAGATTAAGAAATAGGTATTTCAGAGGAAGCAGAATGAGGAGAATTAAAGGCTAAAGGCGGGTATTAGGGACGATGAGTGCTAACGGGATATCCAGTGGGAGAGCATGCATTCCCAATAATCTGTGTGATAAAAATACGGGTAATCCAAAAAGGCAGGAGAGCTTTAATGAGCTAATTAACCAGGTGAACTGAGAGAGCTGGGACCAAGCAAGTAGGAAAGATTTACACCGGAGTTTTAAAATGACGTCCAAACGGAAGCTTTCATGAGAACATTAATGTCCTTTTTTCTCTTCTGTAGCAACTCAGTCGAGTCTTCCTTCTTCACCTAAAACGGTTGGTCTGACTGGAGAATCGGGTCCAAACAGCAGGGCTGGTTGGAGATAGTGAACATGTTTAATGTCCATCTCTGTTCTGTTGTGTTGTTGTTGTTTAAAACCAAGGTAGTGCTCATTAATGTGCATCGACCTCTCCAAATAAACTAAAAGCTTAACCAAGTAATGTCTCTTTGGTTCGTTCGGAGGTAAAGAATCCAACCATCAGATGAGCCTAGAGCAGCAGATATTAAACATTTAGCGTTTTCTCTGAGGTCAGGATGGATTTTCATCTGGTTTTTCTGCTCACAGGTGTCTGAACAATGAACGTGTAAATGACAAGTGTCAGTTTACGGTAACGCATACCAAAGTACCACAAATGAACCTGCGCAGATGGCAGGGAAGGAACGTAAGAGCTAACAGCTCTTCTTCCTCGCTCTAATCGGTTAAGGCACTGCAGGTGCTCCACCGTTGCTCTGACCGCCTCTGTTCACCGTTTCTGTCCGTTCATAAGGTCTTTAGGTCAGATGGGTGGTGCTGGAGTCTGGAGCACGCTCCTGTAGCGGTGTGGCAGACAAACACAGCATTTCACAATCTCCAGAGGTGTCCATGTCAGATCTCTAAGCCTTTTCCTGGGGAGCGGTGCCACCGGTCCCTCAGATCACCACCAGGCAGGACAAGAGTCTTACCCAAGGACACATCAACTGTGACAGACGGGACTTGAACCTGCAACCTTCCAGTTATGGGGCGGAAACTTAACTCCCCTAATGTAATCTGGTACAGCTAAGAGTATGCCACGTGTTGGGAGAGACCATAAGCCACTAAAAAGCTAAACTCTAGCTCAGCACCCGTAAAACGAACTGAATTATCGTCATCGGTGCATCTGCTGACCAGGATAACCTGTGGTGGCCATCTTGGATTGGGCTGACTCCAAAACTGAATCGGAGTCATCACTTCCTGGTGCTCCACGGGATAATTCACCAACACAAAACAACACCTGACATCACCGGAGTTAGGCCATCCAGCTGGGATCACTAAAGCAGCAGCAGAACACCTGACCCTAACCATGGTGCTACATTTGTAATCTCATTACATTATCGTAATCTGTTTTTCATAGAGTAATCACCAAACAGGCCGCAGACCGGGGCAGAACAACACCCTGTGTGTTCTGACATTAGCATCAGTTTTCCACGACTAGGCCTGAACACAGCGAAGCTCCGCTCCATAATTAGGTCCCTGTCAGCTGACCAACCGCGACGCCTCTAAGAGCTGATTGTTTCAGCGATGGCGCTATATTTAACCAGAGCGCTGCTTGTGTTACAGCCGTCTCCTTTGTTTACTTTCTGCCACGGGCCTCATTCAGACGAACATCATAAACTAGAGTTACGGTTGAACACAAACGCAGCAGAGCCGAGGCATTCAGGAAGCCAAGTGGAAGTTCACCTCAGTCACGTGACCAGCACCGATGGAATCAGAACGTAAACATGGCTGCCCGCTGGTGCTCCTCATAACAGCATACAGGCTAAAAAGTTAGGAGAGAGAGCAGCCATTATGGAGGCAGACGTTTCCTGCAGCAGACCAGACCGACCAATGGTACCAACAACCTGGTAATCGAACCTTTACTCTTGGGAGGCGTTAGCTAATGTTGGCTAGCTGTGGATCAGCGGCAGATGTTTCTACCAGAGTTGTTATTAAAATCTGTCCTGAGTAGGGTCGGCCATCGTTTGATTCTGAACGATTCCAACTCCTAGTTTCGATTCCGGTTCCTATCGATTCCGATTCTTTGAAGACATGACATGTTTTACATGAGCTAGCTAACCACAGGTCCTACTGGATGAAACAATCTTAACTTCAACATGAATTTTAACTCTGAACAACAACATCACCTTCATTCAGACACAAACGTGTTTTGGAGGAAAAAAGAAGACGACTTGCAGCACAACCAGTGTGTTTGTTTCTGACCACGACCAAAGTCTGGAAGCAGCCTCTGGGATGAGAGGCTAAATGTCTCCAACACATCCAGAAACGTCCAGCTGTTTCCAGCTAAAGCTCTCAGGATGATCATGTCCAGGATGACTGAGAACCACACCTCCATGCTGCAGCAGCGTTCAGTCACAACAGGAAGTGAAGCTTAACCGTAGCTGCTGTCAGTAACAAGCTAACAGGTTTAAACATTAAAACTCAACAGAAACAGTTCAGAAAGGAAATTATAATGTTATTTATTATTGTTATTATTATTTATTGTGGCAGAA